GTTATTCCTCAAGTATTTTGCACAAATTTGTTTTCTTTCTTAAGATTTTTAAATTTTTAAAATTTAAATCCAGTTAATTAACATACAGTGTAGTATTAGTTCCAGGGGAAGAGTTCAGTGATTCATCAGTTGTGTATAACACCCAGTGCTCATTACATCATGTGCCCTCCTTAATGCCCATCACCCAGTTACCCCATCCCCCCCAACCCACTGTCCCTCTAGCAACCTCAGTTTGTTCCCTAGAGTTAAGAGTCTCTCATGGTTTGTCTCTCTGATTTCATCTAATTTCATTTTTCCCTCCCTTCCCCTATCATCTACTATATTGTTTCTTAAATTCCACATGAGTGAATTCATATAATTTTCTGGTTGACTTATTTCACTTAGCATTATACCCTCTAGTTCCATCCACGTCATAGCAAATGGTAAGATTTCATTTTTTTGATGACTAATATTTCATTACATATATATACCACATATTCTTTATCCATTCACCTGTCAATGGACACCAAGGCTCTTTCCATAGTTTTTCATAGTTTTGAGAGAGAGAGAGACAGCATGGGTAGCAGGGTGTAGGGGCAGAGGGAGAAGCACACTCCCCGCCCAAGCAGGGGGCCCAACATGGGGCTCAATCCCCATGATTTGAGCCAAAAGCAGACGCCCAACTGAGCCACCCAGGTGCCCCCTGACTTACCTACTTTTAGACTCACTCGAGTCACTGCCCTCGAGATGTGAAGCAGCTGCTAGATTCCCTCAGCAACCCCTTTACCTTGTAGTAGGCCTGGCAAACACTTCTCAACAGTGACCATTCACCTGCTATTTTGAGTAGGTGCTTTCATTTCACGATGTTCTTCCCATCTTTGGGGTGACCATCCCCCCATGCCTATCCTCAGTCTTTACGTCTCAACATGGAATCTCAGGATAAAAATCTGTCTTGAAATAGTCTAGTTCTAGAATGCAGACCTTCCTCAAGGATTAATATGGGAGATATTTTTTGGGCTCTCTGAATGTTTACTGGTTTAATTAAACTAGAGCTCCACAATAAGGGCAATAATGGACATCAGAAATGTCCATATTGGGGCGCCTGGGTGGCTCAGTGGATTAAGGCTCTGCCTTTGGCTCAGATCATGATCTCAGGGTCCTGGGATCGAGCCCCGCATTCGGCTCTCTGCTCTCTGCTCCCCCACCACCACCACTGTATGCTGCTCTGCCTACTTGTGATCTCTCTGTCAAATAAATAAAATCTTTAAAAATCTTTAAAAAAAAAGAAATGTCCATATTGCCCTAAAATGCTTAAATAAGATTGTGCCTGCACTCATCTGGGAAAGAGCCATTGGGAATTCAGCAACCTAGCTTTAAAAAAGCTAAGAACCAGGGGCACCTTGGTGACTCAGTTGGTTAAGTGTCTGACTTCGGCTCAGGCCGTGATCTTGGAGTCATGGGATTGAGCCCCACATCAGGCTCCCTGTTCAATGGGGGGTCTGCTTCTCCCTCTACCTCTGCCCCTCCCCGCTGCTTTATTAGAGCTCATGCTCTAATAAAATCTTAAAAAAAAAAAAAAAAGGCTAAGAACCGGTGTATTAAATTCTGTATTTGTGGGGCACCTGGGTGGCTCAGATGATTAAGCATCTGCCTTAGGCTCAGGTCATAATCTCCAGGTCCTGGGATGGAGCCCATGTCAGGCTCCCAGCTCAGCGGGAAGTCTGCTTCTCCTTCTGCCACGCACTCCGCTTGTGCCCTCTCTGTCTCTGTATCTCTCTCAAATGAATTAAAAAAAAAAAAAAATTCTGTGTTTGTTTAACAATTATGGGTTGCAGGGAAAAGGTACTGGCTAGGAGTCATCCTCAAATTCATGTTCACTTAAATGATTATTCATTTCAGGTGAAAAATTTTAACACACTAATTTTATATAAACTTTAAAAACAATATTTAAAGTGCATATTAAATATTTTGGATAAGTAAAACTAAACAGCAAGTAATTTAATTAAGTTGTATCTAGTTTTAAGACTGTGACCATAAAGATAAAATAAGAGAATCTGACAAGTGTGAAGTTAAAGAACATTTTATTTATTGACAGATTAAAAACCACAACTCAAATAGTGCAAAACGCACCACTGAACCCAAATACAAAGAACTGGTGTTAATACACAATGTTTAAGCCATGCTACACTTATTTTTGGCAAAGTGCTGTATTGTTTAGTCTGTGTAAAAAACTGACCATCTATGAACCAATCAGTATAAAAAATTCTATAAAAACAGAAAAAAATTTAGACAGTGGCTCAAGAAAACAAGCTGCCATTTATGCATAGATGATGTACAGTATATAATCCAACCAAATGTCCCTTTTGAGTTTTCAAGTTGAAAAAAATTTATGTCCAGAAATACATCAAGAAGGCACATAGTACAATCTACAATACTCTTCAGTCTCTATAACTGATGCCCTGCCCTTGAAAAGCAAGTGTGTTCACAATTATACTTGAGAAGAAACCCCAAGCCACTTAACCACACACACACACACACACACACACACACACACACACACACACACAATTATTGATTAAAGTTCCAAACCTCTGGAGGAAAACAACCAAAGAGCAAGCAAAACCACTCATACATATTAAGCCTGGATACACACGCATCGAACTCCCCAAGTCCTGATTTGGTTTTTAAGAAGTCCACCTAGAAAACAAATATTAAAACTTCAGGCAAATACAGAACTAAATGGGGCATTTAATAATCATACAATTAAAAAATATGTTGTAAGGAAAATTCTAAATGATATACAAAACATCCACTTAAGCTGCCTTCCTTTGAATAGTAACATCTCTTCCCACAGAAAGGATACTGTTGCAAACAGAAAAAGATGTCTTTATCTGTATGCTTTCTAGTACCTCTTTCTCCACCCCAAACCACTGTAACTGGTGTCATATTTCAAGTGAAAGTGGTATATGGCAAGGCTGACACCACTGGATTAGGCAGGTTTTCTAAATAAAGCATTTCATATAAAATTTTAAGCATTACAGTGAGTAGATAAGGATGCCATTTATAATGCATCAACACGGCTGATGGCGGTGAAGCCATCCAAGAGAGTAGCTGGACTTCTAAAAGAATTTAACCAGTATGAATGGGCCTGATAAAATAAAAGATAACTTCAAGGTAACATTACAAACATATGCTAGTTATCTCCAGTATTAGGAGCAGTCTTTTTACTGATTCTAAAAACAAAACTACCTGGAAACTCTTAAGCATTCTCCACTAATCCATTTACACTTAAATGTCTATCTTCCAGTTGGAATCCTTCATTTTTTAATTTTTGCTTTCTTTTGTTTCCAATTCAAAGAAAACGAGGATAAGAAAGAGACTCTCTTCTGCTCTTTTTAACGAAGAGTATAGAGAGTATCTTTCCTTGAGGAGGAAGAGAAAGAGCAAAGACACTCAGATGCAGTGAAGATGTACAGACGACAAAGCAGTGTACTGCACAGATCTTAGAAGTAAGATCAATAGCGATGCTGAACGGCCCTCTCAAGTTTTAAGGAAACTGTCTTCTCACTAGAATCAACGTTCTGATACACCGACTACCTGGGAACTGGGAAAATGTCCTGGAAATTAATGTAGAGAAAGCTCGCCGGAGTAGAAAGTCAAAAATTCAATCACTGTGCACCTTCTGCAAAAAATTCCCCACCCACCCGACCATATAAATGCATTGCCACAGAAGATAAATAATGGGTGGTTTGTGTTCACCTTACAGTGCAATACATAGTTACTTGAGAAAGAAAAAGTAAAACATAGAAAATACATTATAAAATGTTTTATTAACAAAAACACAAACTTTGAGGAACATGGTGCATTTTTAAAAACTAAGAAGCTCATTCATGAAGTACTGCTTGTGTGCACCATATAGTCCAAACTTTTTCCAAGTAACATTCCGTATTATCAGTCTAGAAACCATCAGAGCACTAAATTCAGAGGGGTCTGATTTCTCACTGCTTGAAGTTTTAAGAAATATGCACGAAAGCACATTGTAAACCACTAATATTTACAACAGCAGAAATAATAATTAACTTATAATAAATTGCATTTTGGCCATGTTTCAAAGAATACTTAGGTCAACATCCTTCTGTTACTATTGGTCTGTGTCTCACACAGAGTAGATGCCTAACAAACATCTAATGATCAAGAACTTCGAATGAATTGTGTAACCACTTTCTTCAGTTCTAACATGTGCCAATTTCAGCAGAAACCTTAGATATTGATATAAAAACCGCAGTCTGATAGGACAGATGGCATGGTTAGCCTAAGAAAACATCCCCAAGACTGAAAGTGTTGCTTCCCAGGTATAAACCATAAAAAACTAGGTCTAGATAAGGCAAACAAAAAGTCAGTAACAGATAGAGAAGTAAGTGTATTTTCGGGTATCAGGAAATTTGAAAAAATCATAGTAAAAAAAAACAAAAAACCATTGCTATTTTATATACAAATCTGTTCATGCTGCCAAACAAATTCTCACGGCTGAACTTCGGTAGCTTGTGAGGTACTAACAAACTGCATGTAATATATGAAAAAAGAGACCCCCATGTATTCAGAGGCTTACATCCAGAAAACATTTAGCTGGTCTATTTTCAAGTTACCGACTTACGGCCCTGTAACAGATATGGTGTAAAATGTACACACCTTCATGAAAACTTTATCTTAACCACTCAACTCTCGTAAACACAAATAGTAACAAAGTAACTTCTAGCTCAGTTTGATAAAACTTTACAGACTTGGCCCCTAATTAGAAAACAAATAAATAAAGGGGTAGTCGAAATCGAAAGGGAGTAAGGAGAGAAGGGGGATGTAAGACATTCCTGGCACTTCATCGCGGCCAGTGGAAGAACCAGCTGCACCACCATCTCATGAAGCTATTTAATCTCTTCTGACCCCAAACATCCCAGTCTAGGCAGAAAAGAGCACAGCTCTTCACTTAGGTTAAAAAAAAAAAAAAAAGAAAAGAAAAGAAAAGAAAAAAAAAAGTCTCCCATAGTTCCCTGCACCGAACTGTTACAGGATTATTGAAAAATATAATACTTCACATAACTATATGCTTCTTCCCTTGAAAACCTTATATAGACATGTACTTATTAGGGTTGCAGAGGAGATGGAAAAATAAGCTATTTGATTGCAAAGGTGATACTACTGATCTGACAGTAGAATATGCTTTGGATCGTGTATGTTTAATTTAGTTACAGAGGAAACTGGTGAATGTGGATGGCTCAGCAAAACCCATCACAACTGCTAAGAAATAAAGTGACTGGCTGGAGGTACAAAACAGAGTTTCTGTGTGTTAACTGGCCTCGTGTGAATCGAGCCCTGAACGCCGGCCTCGTTAGCACCAACACTCTGAAGAACAGCTGTGGCAGGAAACCGCCACAGGCCCCATCTCCATCATTAGATTCAGTAGAGAGGCCCTTGGAATTTCACACAAGGTTCAGCTCTGGACAGCCCAGTTCCCATCAGTACACAGTCCGCACGACAACGGTGAGGAAGGTAAATACTACTACTCCCCCATTGGTGGAGGAAACAGAGGCCAAAGTGGTTAAAGATTCTGCCTGTAGCCCCAGTTACAAAAACAAAAAATGGAAACTCAAGGGCTCCAACCTGTCACTCTTCATTTGGATGCGAGGAAAGGATGTCACCGGGAATCCCTCCTCGGCCTTGCGCGCCACTTGGCAGGACAGGTCCATGGCAGAGGATGGATCACTGCATCAGAGATACAAAATCTACTTCTTTTCCCTTGGACAGTCATAAATAAGAAGTCACTAAAGTGCCTGGAGGAGTACTTCTGAGCTGACAGGAGGCGGCAAGTGGGCAGAGCTGACAGGAAAGACTCCAGACAAGTTAAATAGTGGACTAACGGCTTTGTTGTAGACATACATTTCTCCAAAAACAAGTTCACAGGTCTAACTGAATCCCTCTGCGTGGGAGACAAGTGCTTTTGTCCCACGATCTCTGTACCACGTCACACAGTCACGTCGGAATTACTGAATGCACTGTTCACTAATACTTAATGTACCTGAATTCCAAAATGAACTGCATGGCTAATCCGGAAAACAAAACAAAACAAAACAACCGAACAAACAAAACAAACCTATACACACAGAAATATATCAAGTTTTCTTTCAAGAGAAAGTTCAGCCATAATTCCATTATATCTATGGCAACTATCACCTGTTAATGCTCATGTTAGTGTGTAAAAATGTATTCATTATATACAGAAAAGATTATCAAGTACTGGTCAATAAAGTGTATGGCTGACCCTGAGAATAAATTCTTGCTTACTCAAAATATTGATTAAGTAATACAAAATAAAATGAAATTGAAAGATGCCTATTCTCATACTTGGGAAGAAATGTCTTTAGAATGCTAACTCATGTACACCTTCATAGATTTAAAGACACCCCCAAACACCAAACACTGTAACTGTATTGATATGTTTCCGAAAATATTCTGAAAAAATTTACAAAAAAGTAAGTGTTAAAAGCAAGGCATTATGTGATATACAGCATGTAAATCTGGTTTTCAAGATAGTGTCTAAACACATCGATAAAACTATGTGATTGGTCATCAGTTGGCTGTAAAGAAACAGCATCCTCATCGTCCGTCCACACACGTCCACACACATATGCACAAACCAAGAGAATCCAACCAATCTTGAAATTCTTAGTAATTGTACTGACGGGGGCAGGGCTGATGGACAGCCCAGCCATTGTGCTTGACTTGCCTAGAGTGGCAATCCCTGGTAAGATTTTGGCGACGAAGGCTATTTCTGTTCAAAGACGGTCTTTCACTATGTTCTTTTATCCACTGGGAAGGGCGAAAGCTCTTGGGTTGTTCCAGAAAAGCTGTATGTGCAGCGAGAGCTGCAACGTAGCAATGGATGTGCTGCCCCATTTCATTTCGACTTTCCACTCTGAAACAGAAGAAAACGGGACTCTATTAAGTAACAGAGTATGTTATTAATGAACTCGAAAAAGGTACTTAGTGATTCAATTTGCCACACTAATTTATGGCTGAATGAGAGCTTAGTGTCTCATAGCTGACGGACAAGTTTATATTTCGTGACCACACTGACAATGACAGAAAGCAGAGGACAATTTTTCATAGAAATACGTCATATAATCCACAGACGGTTAATTAGGCAGACTGTATTTTTCTAAAAGGTGCTTCACATTTTGAGTGAATTTCAATCAGGCAGCAAATGCATTTAGGCAAGATTTTCTGTGAGGGGGACTAACATTTATTGATTATCCGGACTGGCCAACTGTTTTGCAAATGTAGTGTATTTAATTCTCACCATGATCTTAAAAGGAAAATATCTTAATTGCCAAATTTTACTGACCAGAAAGCTAAGGCTCAGTGGTGTTAAGGTCATTATTATTACCTCCTGCAACCAAGATTCTAATACAGGTTTTACTCCGAAGTCTGTGGTTAGGAAGGCGGCTGGTGCTGATGCCCTGGGCTGCTGCACCTTCATACACGTTTTCTGTCTATAAGTAAATGTTCCAGGAAACAAGCTTTAAACCCACATTTAATAGAAATATGCATAAGAAAATTCTACTCATTTAACACTTTCCTGGATAAAAAGCTACCCGCTTATTATAAAAGTTTTTCATTGATAGCGCAACAGGGCACATTTTGGAATGGCCTTTGCATGGTAATGTCACAGAGACCCGTGGAGAACACATCTTGAAATATGGCTACAAACCACATGATTGTTCTATGTTTTCTACATTAAAAGCTATCTAACAGGATAGATATAAGTTATAACAACACATGACAGGAAGAGTTTTAAGAGCTGTAAGGGTTATTTTACACAACAAGGGCAATTATAGGTTGTATCTGTAATCACTAGAGGAAAACACTCTAATTTTTAAAGATTTTTTAAAAAATAGAATTAAAGGGGGACACATTAAGAAGCTAATAGGAAGAAGTTAATATAAAGACAGCAGTTTGTAAAAGGTGGGCATTTTGATACTTTAGGCTTTCTGCTCAGACTGATTTTAACACATATTACACAGTCTCAAAGGGAATGTACTTACTCTGTGCCAGTGAGTCTTATAAGCAGCTTTTCCTGGCCCTACAAATGTTAAATGGTGAACTATTAAATTACTAGTAAGATTTAAAATGCTATTTAATTTTACTGTTAGGACATGGTGCATTTTCTGTAATTAAAACTGGTTTACTATGGGTCATTAAAGGCACATGTATTATTTAAGATTATGATAGCACATAGACCTCATAAACAATACTTACAAAGGCCAAAATACAATAAAACATACATCTGAAGCCCATCTGTAATTATGAAGCACCTTCTTGTTACATGCTTTACGATAATATCCCCAAGGATAGAAAGGATAGAGGCAATCTAACTTTTGAAGATACCATGTTTAGAAAACATAGATATTTACTACATAGCCATCCTAATTTTGGTAACACCTGATCTATCTTGGTTTAGTGGTTTTTTTTTTTAATAAGGATTTGAAATCCAGAAATAAAGGTGTTAAAAATTTTTAGTTATTATAAAACTATGATAATTCGCAGTACTTTTGAAGGAATTCATAGAAAGTGAAGTGTGTTCTTTTGATCCTATATATATGGAAAAGCACCTATTTGTTTAACTTTCCTGTATGTTACAGCAAAACATATAACAAGATTGGGGCGCCTGGGTGGCTCAGTGGGTTAAAGCCTCTGCCTTTGGCTCAGGTCATGATCTCAGGGTCCTGGGATCAAGTTCCTCGTCGGGCTCTCTGCTCGGCAGGGAGCCTGCTTCCCCATCTCTCTCTGCCCGCCTCTCTGCCTACTTGTGATCTTTCTCTGTGAGTCAAATAAATAAATAAAATCTTTAAAAAAAACCATATAACAAGATAAAGAAACAAAAAAAGATACAAAAAAAAAAAAAAACAAAAAACGATCATTCTGACTGCATCAAAACAGTGAACACATAACCAGATGCAGAGTATGGTCTTGGATGGGATGCTGGTCTGGACAAATGAGGTGAACTATTCTGGGCTCCAATGCAGAAAGCGGAGTATGATGTGGGTAGTAGATGAAGTGAAATTTTACTGAAAAGAAAATGGTTCAGATCATTGCCTAAAGAAACAGATTATAAAACAGTATATACAGCTTGATCCCATTTAGGTTACAAATGTGTGTGTGCATGTGTGTGTGTGTGTGTGTTTGTGAAAAACAAGCCGGAAGGATGTGCCCTGGGGTGTTAACAGTGTGCATCTCCAGGGAGTGCAAATGTCTTTTTAAACTTTTTAATTTTTACATATTTGCATTTTCTAATTTTCTGCAAATGCATATATGCTGTTTCTGGAATAATATTATTTACAAAGCTGCTGTACATATACACACACACTCTAAACACTGAGAAGTAAATATACAAACATCAGTACATTTAAAGTGACTATTAATCATGCTAAACTCTTGAGTGGAATTCCACAGAGGTGAGATCAGAATCAGGTGGGAAGCATTTCTGAGAAATGAAGAAATTAATTTGAATCAACCATAAGGCAATTTAATCAATACCATGTCCTAGAAATTTTGAATTTTTGTTGGAATGCCTGAAACACTGATCTCTCGATAAACTTAAAAGCGCTGAATCAAGTGCCAGTTAAAGTAACACTTCCCACCAAAGATCTTACCCAGTATAAAGCCGGGTAAGCAAATTGTTTCTCATTTGGGTAAAGGATATGTTTACCCTCACAGAAGATCACAAGATCACTTAGAGTATTCGGACTTGCGAGTGCAGCAGACTCTAGTGAAGTTCAATTAATGAGCTGCCTGGGTTTTGTTTGTATTTGGCAAACAGGAAATGGTAGAAGATATAAACAATGATCCAGTTAGTGGAGTTAGAGCCCCAATAGTCTAAAAAGAGGCCCTTTGGGTTATAGGACCAACTATGGGAACATTCTGAACTGCTCCAAACATTCCATGTCACCTGAAGTGTACGGTACGTAGTGTAGGTATGTAGAAAATTAGGGTCAGCATCCCCCAAATACTGTTTAACACCACAGCACATTCCACTACCATGCACTGTGAACAACCAGACTTTGGGCTGATGAACATGACCATGGGCTTTCTTTCAGCAGGTGCAAGCATCTTGAATATACTCACTGGATAAAGGCCATAGGACGCCTATAAGTTTGCTTTGAAACATATCAGTCTTTACTGACCAGGCCCTCAGCCTATCTGTCACTCAAACAGAGCCTTTCAGACCTACTAGGACTTCCATATAACAAGAAAATATTGTTTGGGTATGAAATCATTCCTCTGTAAGGAAGAAAACAACTCTCTGGGCAACACGTTTTGGTAAAATTGCCATTCTACTTCATGTTTACGATTTGTCAAGTTTTTGAGGTTAAGTGCCATTTGATGTGACCCAGCTAAGACTACCTGAAAGAAAATAAGAGTTTTAAGATATACTACTCTTGGGGTGCCTGGGTGGCTCGGTCGGTTGAGTGTCTGACTCCTGATTTCGGCTCAGGTCATGATCTCGGGGTTGTGAGATCAAGCCCCACGTCGGGCTCTGCGCTGAGCAGGGAGCCTGCTTAAGAGTCTCTCTCCTTCTCCCTTTGCCCCTCCCTGCTCGCGAGCGCTCTCTAAAAAAAAAAAAAAAGAAAGAAAGAAAGAAAGATATACGATTCTTGTTGAATTTGATAGCCCAAATAATTCAGTGTATAAAGTGCCAGTTACATTGAGACACACAGCAGAAATGCCAGTCTTTTCTTCTCTGTCACCATCAGAGTACTATAAATCCAACAGCTCTTCCTTATATAATCAGAGCCATGTTCTAATGGATGTTTTTGAAAATCTAAAATGAACATGTGTTTCATACCATCCACTACCTTGTGCACTATGCACATGCCTTCACACATCTCTAACGAGATTACTTTGCATCTTCTAAAAAATCAGCTTTGAGTTGTAGTAGAAATAAATAAACTGCATGTCAAACAGACTGCTTGTGGACAGAGTAAAATACAGTCAACCCCTCAACAGCTCAGGGGTTAGGGGCGCCAACCCGTGTGCAGTGGAAAATCCACGTGTAAGTTATGACTTGCCCGAAGCGTAACTGCTAATAGCCTACTACTGACTGGGAAGTTTACCAATAACATCAACAATCAATGAACATATATTCTGCATGGCGGAGGTATCATCTACTGTATTCTCACAATAAAACAAGCCAGAGAAAAGAAACCGTTATTAAGGAAATCCTAAGGAACACAAAATACATTTACAGTCCTGTATTCTGCTTATCAAAAAAAATTCTCCACACAAGCAGACCCATGCAGTTCAAAGCCATGATGCTCAAGGGTCAACTGTACTCACAACGTACCTGGGGCTACTTGGGTCAGGACATTCATTGGTCCCACAACTGGCCTCACCGACGCCAGGGCAGGAGTTATGCACAGCATAGACAGACATGCTGGGATGTTCAATGAGAAGGTTTTCCAAAGGACTGGTTTCCACCTTAAGAGTGGTTAAGCCACCTGCAGTAAAACATGGGGGAGGGGTGATAAACCAGCTCTCCTCCATCGGACAGGACTCAAACTGGAGCAAGCAGGAATCACGGGTATCAGCCAAGCACTCAAGAGATGCAGGTAAACAGGAAAAGACTGACGGGTGCTCGGTACGTGACTCTTCACTGATGGCTTCGGCTTTGGCTTCTGCTGCTGAGAAACCAGGGCAGGCGTCTACATCGTGGTCCACGTTCGTTGGTGAAGTCCCACGGGAACATGAGCATCCCGATGGTATCACATTCAGGGCACAGAAAAAGGAGAGAGGATACTATAAGCTGATGTTCACATTCCTCTCTTCCTTTCGGTGAGACACAAAACCATTTATGTTCATTCGTAATGACAGGAAATGATTTCTGAGCACCCAGTGTGTGTGTAGTGTGGTGTAACACTGCATAGGACGGGTCATGGTGGTTTCGTGGGAATGGGTCTGAAGACTGCGTCTATCCTGCTGAATAAACGTGATGAGCAGCATGGGTCACTGTTCGTCTAGAACAGGATTTCCTATTCAAGTGCATCAGATCTGAACAGACTAGGAGAGTTGCAAAACTGGAAGATCTGACGTCAGTCAGTTCCACGGACTCATCATTTGGCACAGGATGTTTCACGCAATTTTTTTTTGGACAATTCTTGCTTATTTACTTTTAAGGCTTCCAAACCTTCAGAGTTACGGGTTTACTTATGCAAAAACTGAGAAGTAAGAGTTTCCACTTTTGCTGGGATGATTAACAGCTAAGAATACCTTACCTATGAAGTCAACGAGAATCCATTCTTCATCTTCTTTCTCACTAAATTCCGGTTCTTGGTTGGAAGAAGTGTTGACTTCACCCACAAACATTTTATTCAGTCTCTGGAACATGGTTAAGGCAAGATTGAGACTTTGGCGGGATGTCTTTACAGCTGAGATCTCAAAACACCGTCTTCAGTCTGCCTGATGGCACGACAGGAGATTAAAGTGCACAGGGTGCTTATTCAACTTAGGCGAGAGCAAGGAGAGTCGTTATCCCTAAAATAAAATAGGAAAAGAAGGTCATTTCAAATCAGCACATATTTTATACAGTATGTGTATGGTCTCGAAAGCGTGTGCCCACACACACACACACACCCCTTTAGAAGAAAGCTCATGCCTTAGCCTGTAGCTACAGCCGTTCTCTTCCTACAGGGTCAAACACAAGAAATGTCAAACACAAGAGATATAGTACCTCTTATTTATAAACCATTATGAATTGAATACTCAAAAGCAACCTGTAAATAAATGTGAAATGAAAGGGAAGGAGCTGGTTCTTTTTCACACCTGTGCTTTCCTAAGGGATAAATCTGACTCATGTAGTTCAAGCTGAAATACTGCTTTTCTGCAAGAAGAGCAAACGCCAGATACTAAGTCTTGCTGTATGACATTCAGCTGCCCAGAGCTGCCGAAGGAAGCCCGCCGCGGGGCGGGGCGGCCACCAGCTTCCCTCGGCTCACCTCCTCTTCTGTTCTGTTCTTCTGTAGGACTCTAAGCGTACCTAATTCCGCTTAAAAATCAGCAAGCATAATTTGACCTTCCAAACAATTCCTACAGCGGGCACAGAGAAATTTACACCGCAGAAAACGGAGGAGGACAGCAGCGAGCCACGGAAACCGCGGACTGCAGGCAAGCAGGAGGGTCACGTGGCCCGCACACCTGGGTTCAAATGCTGGCTCTGCTGCTTGTGGAGTTAGGAAGTCATACTACTTCAGTGGGCAACAGTTCTACTTCATGGAGTTCTGGTGAGTTCTTTTTGTTGTTGTTTTGTTTTTAAAGGGTGAGCACGTGGGAATAGGGAGCAGCGAGGGACAGAGGGAGGAGAGAGAATCTTTAGGCAGGTTCCATGGTAAGCCCAGTGTGGGGCTTGAGCTCATGACCCTGAGATCACAACCTGAGCTGAAATCAAGAGTAGAACACTCAACCAGCTGAGGCCCCCAGGCGCCCGCCTGGTGAGTTCTAAGTGAGGAACTCCGGCCTTGTCTGATCTTCCAGAATTCCAAATACATACATACATATATATATATATATATATATATACACACACACACACACACACACACACAAACACACACACACATCTATAGAATGTATAAATAATATAAATATTATATTTATATAATATATAAATATAATTTATAAATTATGAATTATATATTTATTATATATGTGTATATTTTATACGTATGTGTGTGTGTGTGTGTGTGTAACCATTTCTCCCTGTTTACCTGATAGTCATATCAAACCTAACACTACCAAAGAGAACTTTTAATTTCCATCCCCCACAAACTTACATGCACTGTTCTCCTTCCCTTTCCCAGCGAGAAGCAGCAGCATCCAGCAGTTATTCAGGCCATAATCCTAGCAGTTGCTCCTTCTGCTCCCCACCCAACCCCTCAACCAAACTTTCAACAAGTCCTGTTGACTCTAGCTGCACATGTGCCCTACATCTGCCCACTTCTTGCCACCACTTTCATCCTAGTTGAAGCCAATCTGGTGTCCCTCCGGACTCTGCCAATCACTACCTCCCTGATGGGTCTCCCTGATCCTACTCTTGTGAAATGGCATAATGCAGGCAACCTACTTAGCAAGGCACTTGGCACAAAGTTCTCAGTCAACGTCAACTATTATTCTACAAATATTTACTGAGTACCTATTATGCATCAGGCAGAGTGCTAAGCATGGGGGAGGCAGCAGTGAATACGGCCCTCCCGTGGCAACCATTAACAACCCAATGTGATGAATGCCATGGAAAAAGTACGGGGTGTTCCTCCAATCCAGGCAGGCAGAGGTCAGGAAGGACTCCTGTAGTAAATGACTTTGGTCTTGAGAGGTCAAGAAGATCAAGAATGGAGGAAGCCTACAGCTGAGTGAGAATGTGGCAACCTTCTATGGGACTCAAGATCCAGGATGGTCATGAGCGCAGGCTGGGGGTGCTATGCAAGAACCAGATCTTTTAGGACCTTCTAAACCAGAAGTTACAGAAAGGGAAAAGCCAAGGATGACCCTCTACCAGAAGCCAATGGGGGGGGGATGATGGGACCATTTAGCGGAAAAGGTATACTGCAGAAGGTGCTGGTTGGGCATTTTGGACATGCTGAATTTGGGACTCTGCAAGTCACATGCTTGGTGTTGTCTAGTGGGCAGCGGAACATTTCCAGGGCTTTGGAGCGCAAGGGCATGGTCTCAGCTGGGGGCACGGATTTGGGAAATTGTCAACACAACAGGGGTAACAGAAATCATGAGTAGATGAGACCATCCAGGGATGGTGAAAAGCCTCTGACACTTTCTCATGAGCATCAGCCTTGAATCCGTAACTTCAGACTCTTGACCCTTTGCTTTCAAAACAGTCATCATTTTTAGCTGGAAATGTAGTTACAGTCTGTAGTGAAGGAGATTCTTGGTTGACTTCTTTATGTGCAAACAGGACTGCTACAACTGTTTGGCATGCTACTACGAATGTGTAGTACTACAAATGTGTGTTCAAATAAATGACATTTGAACACTTTTGTGGTCACAATCCGTCATCATCATCCATTAATTATTAAAAGAGAGTAAACAGGAAACGTTACTTGCATAACCAGTCTGCTAGAAACCCTTCTGGAAAGCAGCGGGGCCAAATCATGAAGGCTGGAGCTCTAGTATAGAATTCAAATTCAGCTTTACGTTCCATGTAAGAGATGTTAGATGAAAAGTGAGCTTGCGTAGTTCACTTGTGTAGTGTCACAGCTATATCCTAAAAGATGAGCTATGACAAGGTCTGGTGTAAATAAAGGTTTTCCGCATATAAGCTACGAGGGAAAAAAGACACTTAAAAAAATCTCCCCCCCATTTCTCTTAAATTATGAAGGCATATATTGGCCCCAACTACAATCCTGTGTCTGCTGAACTAGTTGAGAGAATAATCTTAATTCTCCAGAGTACAGGGCTGGCCTCAGGCGCTTCATCAGCTAGGAAGCTGGAGTTGCTGGGTGTAAAGCAGAGCACCCCACAAGGGAACCCCTGCTCATCCTGAATGAGCACCTTGTCCCCCAACTGCGATGCCACATGAGGGTAACTTACTGGGGCCCAGGCCTGTAAAGTGGAAGCTACAAGGCAGAAAACAATGCTGGTGCCATCGTGGTTGGGCAGCTGCGGTTCCCAGCTGCCAACTGCCTCCCTCCACCCCCGCCCCAGCTACAGCTCCAAATCCATGAGAAGCCAGCTAATGCCTAGAACATATACAACTCTGCCACAGGAAAGGTGCCTTTGGAGGAATTTTCCACGGGGCAGCACAAGTCAATCTTCTTTTGGTCTCCTGAAGTCCGAGGCTACCTTGAGATATCCCAAATGTCCTGCAAGGGCAACCAACCTTGGGTGGCCTGAGTATTCAGGAGCCCAACCAGGCAAGGGAAGAGCTCATTTTCATCTGTCCTGAGTCATGACTCAGATTTACATGACACACCTGTGGAGGCCCCTGGGAAGGAAAAAGACCAGTTTGGGGACAGGTGGAAGGAGGGCTGGCCTGGGCACCAGCAGGAGAGGGTTCTAGTGCTCTCCCTACCATAAGTGGCTGGAGCTAAACGATCTAACCCTTCTGAGCCTCAGTCTCACCACTGGAAAAATGGGGAGACTGTGTTGGATCACCTCTTCACTCTGATAGACCTCTAGCACAATGAAGAAGTAGGGTAGACCAACTATGCAAAGTTCCTTTGGCCTTGCTTTCTGTAGGAGTCAGAAAGAACGAGGAGCTGCTGGAGAGCCCCAATATGCTAAAGCTGTTCAGTGGGTGGCCACAAGGCACATCAGGCAAACGAGCACTTGAAATGACTTGTATGACCAAAAATCTGAATTTTAAATTTTATTTACTTTTAATCCATTTCAAACTCAAATTTGAAAGCTGACAATTGAGCCAATTTTTGGAAACTTCCAAGTATGTTCTGAACAACCGATTAACTATTTCCAATGAAAATTTTACATCTGAATCAAGACGTGATAGGTTTAAAAATATACACCAGAGTGTATGTCCAAGTGAGACTTAGTGCCCCCTTGAAAATACTGTAAAATATCTCAAAAATTTTTATATTAATTGTATGTTGAACTAAGAAGTAATTTTGGAATATGTTAGGGTAAGTAAAATATGTTAATAAAATTAATTTTACCTATTTTTCTTTTTTAACGTGGCTACCAGAAATTTAAACATATATATAACTCACATTACATATCTCTATTGGACAATGTAGTTCTAGAAAAATCTTTCTAAAATATTGAGAGCCTAACCTCCTAATTGCCCAAGAACTGGCCCTACCTGGTCACTGCTATCCTTCACCTTCACTCCTGCCCAGGAATGGAGGCTCCTAATGGGGGCTGGTTCTATGCGGAGCTGTAAGTCAAAGCATAGCCTCAGACTTCACTTTTCACTACATGTCACAGACATTTTTTTTTTAATTTAATTTTTTTTGTAGTAAACTCTACCTCCAATGTGGGGCCCGAACTCATCACCCTGAGATCAAGAGTCTCTCGCTCTACTGACTGAGCCAGCCAGGTGCCCCGGTCGTGGACTTTTTGATATTTACAACTCTAGGGCAATGATAAAACTAAAGTGAAAATTCCAGAGAAAGCATGTGTCCTAAGAGGACAAATTTACAAATACAATTCTGGAATTTAGCAAAGAGGTTGGGTCAAAGAAGGCTAGGTAAGGTAGCACTGCTATTTTTGGGGGCATCTGCAAACTTTCCACAGTAACTAACCAACCTTAGCCAATCTACCAGGGAAGTCTCACCCCAGTGGAGAAAAGAAACAAAGTATCTGGACCCCAGCATTTCAAGAAGGCAGATTTGTCCCTGTTTTTCTGGCTCAAAATACCTCCCTCCCTCACCAAAAAAAAAAAAAAAAAAAAAAAAAAATTTCATTATAAAATTAAAGAAAACTACATTATAAACAGTTTAGAAGATAAGGAGAATAATTATTTCACTGCCTTGCTGCAATACTGTTAGCATTTTATGCATTTTCTTCTCCACATAAGGTTTCTTTTTATCAGGAGGTCTAGTGAATGCACAATACTGTATCCTGCTTTGTTACTTAACATTTCATCATTAATGTTTTTCCTATTATTACATGAGTTAGAAATGCTCTGTGGGCAGAGAAAGGTGGCTAAGTTTAATACTTATGGGGAAGAGCATTCTAGTTCGTGAACTTAGAAAAGGCATTGCTAGTCTGGAAGAGCTTGTTAGAATGACTTATTTTCTTATTTTTGAGACAGGCAAACAACCAACAGGCACTGTGGCTATGGAGGTACGCTGCTATGTTTGAAACCTTCGCTTTGCTACCTACAACTTGTGTGAACTTAAGGTATTTAGTAACCTTTTGGTGCCTCAGTTTTTTCATCCCTGAAATGGGGAGGATAGCGGATTATGCGTGGATGTGAGGATTAAGTGCGTATCCCTCAGACTAGTGCCTGACAACAGAGCAGGCAGCCAGTAAATATTAACTCAGAATATTAAATATAACTTGGAAAACGTAAGTCCATTCCAAGCCAGCAGCATGAATGTAAGCCACTTAGCATCTTTGGGTCTGAATGTCTTCCTCTGCAAAATGTTTATATAATAATCAGAACTACAATCTACTGAATACTTATTGTATGTGACAGTGAGTTGAGGTACTTGTCACATGTTACCAACAGGAAACTGAGGCTCAGAAATTAACTTGCTCGGAATTGACAGAGCTGGTCAGGTGTGGAGCCGGCATTAGAACATAAATCTGTGCAGTTCCAAGGGTCTTGCTTTTCCCCCTGCACATGATTGCTCAGGCTCCTTTCGGCCTCAACTCTGGTTCTATGAACTTCAGAGAACAGTACTTTTCAGCTGGTTTTGGCTGCCAGTAGGCGGCTCCAAAAACAACATTTTTAAATTAAAAAAAAAAAAAAAAACCAACAACAAAAACAAAACCACAACTTTGATGATCTAACTTTGCAAACTATGTGTACAGTTGTGGCTTCTTGACAGTTTCGAGATATCAGGTGGCTAACCTAACACATCTTCACTGAAAAGCAGCCTCAAAATGATTTTTCTCTTTATATCCCACCCTGTTTTAGAACAATAAACATGCCGGTTCAAGTAATTTAGAATTGATTTTAAACTACAGAAAAACCAAGCCAAGAAAGCTGTCTTTGCTTGTTTCGCTTCTAATCAGCCTATTCAACTGGTCATAGTGGGTTACTCTCCCAGAGACCCACCACTGTCTGCCCTGAAGGGTGAATGACAGAGGACAAAGAAGAGCAGTGAGTGGTTATTCCCAGCCTGTTAACCTTCAATTTTTAAGGTAGGGCCATTCCCAAGAGAAATAGGAGGGAACAACGGAGTGAGCAGGCAGTCACAGAAAAGAACAAAAGACAGGAAGAAAAAAACAAAACAGCCCTCACTCATATAAGTCAATGAGGTCCTGGAAACAGGTAGCGGCCTTTAAAAATTATGCTCCCAGTTCAGACTTTTAGCGTCTGTGACTTAAAATCAAATGCTTCCCAGGGATTTTCATATCTGCAATGAACAGTGCGTTTCAATTACCAAGCAAAATTTGGGGGTACCTCTTTATTACCTCTGTTCAATGACCTCATGGGTCACACTCTCTCCTCCCCTTTTCCAAAACTACTCTGCATTTAGAAAAGGCTCTTTTAGCAACAAATGCCCAAATACTTGGACGTTCCAGACGGAAAGAGGCTCTTCCTTAACCTCTCCTAAACTGGAGTCAACACAGAAGATGATGAAAAGAGGCAGTTAGGAAATGTAACACAAAACGAGGAATGCCCACATGAAATGCACCTGCAACTTTGAAAGGGAAAACATCATTTCCATTTAATTGGCTGGGTGGCCTCGAGTAAAATAACTTCATCTCTCTGGGCCTCGGGTTTCCTATCCACAAGATAATAAAGCCGACATCAGAGGGTCTCGGTGAGGAGCAACTGAGACAACTGAGGCACGCTAAGCCCTCCGCATAGTCTAGACACAGAGGAAGCGCTCAATCGGCCTCCGGGAGCAAAACGAGGATTTCACCCGTGGCGGCCAAGTACAGGGCCCCTGCCGCAGGTGCAGCGTCAAAGATCAGGTGTAAGATCGAGCAGGGTCAGGGGACACGCAGCGGACCCGCGGACACCCAGGCGCTGGTGGCCGCGGAAGAGAGGAGGGTCCCCCGCGCCGCAGGACCCTCGGTGCTAGGGGCGCGACCCGGGGCTACGAGGGCTGGCGCGGCAGGCGAGGAGCGAGAGGGGCGCCCGGGCGGTCCTCCCGGAGTCCCCGACGCCAGTCCAACGGCCGAGGGCAGGAGGAGGAGTGGAGGGGAGTGAGGAGGGGAAAAAGAAGGAGGTCCTGCCGCGGCCAAGAAAACAGGCCACGCTCGCGGGAGGAGGCAGAAACCGAACACCCACCGCCGCCCGGCGCCCGGCTCGTCCGCCTCCGCCCGCACCCCGGGGCCTCGGGCCGGCCGCCGCCGGGGGCAGGAGGCGGGAGGCGCGGAAGGCTGCCGGCGGGAGGCCCGCGGGCCGGCAGGAGCGAGCGGCCCCGGGGGCCGGCCCCGCCCGCACTTACGTGGGCCCAAGCGGCAGCGGAGACGGGCGGCGAAGGCAGCGGGCGCGTCGCTCGGCGGGGTTGGCGGGGAGCGGCGCGCACCGGCGCGGGGCTGCTGAGGTAGCTGCGGCTCCCGGACCGCGAGCGCGGGGCGCGGGGCCGGGCCGCCTGTCCCGTTGCTGAACCACTGGCCGCCGGCGGCCCGTCTCGCTCCTTTTGTTGTTGTGCTGCGCTCGGAACAGCTGATCGGCCGCCCAGCCCGCCCGTCGGGCCGCCCCGCCCCGGGGCCGCGCCAGGCCCGACCCCACCAATCGGCGGCGCGGGGGCCCCGGGGCCGCCCTGCGAGAGGTTGTCACTAACGCACGTGACCTGGCGGCGAGCCGGGCGACGCTCTCAAGTTAGAAACAAGCCCGGGCAACAAAAGCCGGGGCGCCGTGGGACTAGAAGAGGGGCGACCGGGGAGGGGAGCAGGGGAGGGCCGGGGCGAGCAGAAGTGGGAACCCGCAGGAGTGTTGGGGGGAGAACCGGAAGGGTGAGAGGAAGAGCCCCGACCCCAGCGACCCTTTGCCTGAGTAAGGGCCCGAGGGTTTGAGGGCACAGAGGGATGGAGGGCCGTGTTTGTGGGAGAGGAAAATTAAGGGCGTTGAGAGTGATGGAGACCAAAGACCCCAAGGGCCCCGTTCGGCCCATTGTAGGGGTAGAACCTTAGACGTGACCCTGTAGCGGCAGGTCCACTTCTTGGCCTTTTTGGGGAAGAAAAGCTTTCTGGCTCCAGATGCGGGGGATGCTGGCCCACTTAACTTCCTTTTTAAGCCAGGCCCCATCACCCTGTGGGAACTGACACGGGGAGCTGACTGAACTTGCCTACAGCCTCAGGATTCAACCTATAGCAGGCAAGGCAGAAGGGGCCGTGAGACCAGAGCCCAAGGCAGAGAGGTCCGTGACCTGGAGAGGTCTGCTCCAGCAGACCTGAAGAACCTGGAGGAAGGAGAGTGGAGAGCTGCTTCTTCCCCAGTCTCTGCATCCAGGCTCCCATGTGACCCGGGGAGGTTATGACCTCTGCCTGACTGTTGACATACCTGCAGACCGTTGGCATTCACACGGGGCCGGCCTGCTCACCGGTTATTCATAGTGAGAAGAAGATGAGATAGGCTGTAAGACGCTTTCCAAGCCTAAGCTCTGTATGCGGATGGATGGATTAACTGTGTCTGGTAGAGGCAAGGGAGTCACTAGATGCACCTCTGCTCTCATGCGGATCCTGTGTGGACTGAGATGCAATTCTCCCACGCAGAGTGAAATTTATGGCAACCACTGACAGGTATATCATACAGTATCTGAAGGCCTCTCACATTCTGACCTTCCCAAGAATCCTGTGGTCAGCCCATTTCCAACAATACTGGTTTTAAAGGACGAAAATCAAAGTGCAGGGATTTGTTACTTTGTTTTGTTTTGACTTTTTTTTTTTTTTTTTACTTTTTTACTTTTTACTTTTTTTTGTTCTGTTACCCAGAAGTAATAACCAAAATATGGCGGCCATTGGACTTTTTCTCAGGAGGTAGACTGGGGCTATAAGTTGGACTGGACAACATCATGGAATTGAGTGTGCTTCAGATTTTAGGTTTTAGCAAATCAGGCACACTTATGTTTTCTCTCAAATGTTATTGCTACCCTTGGAGCTCCATAATCTCTTCCTTCTTCTTAGGAATCCCTGAAGAGACCATTTTCCCGTTAAAGGCATGATGATTAAAAAGTCAAGTTGAGACCTACTTTTTCTAATTTGATAAGGTTTATCAACTGTTAAAGGCAAGATGTGAAAGCGTACAGTACTTTGTTGTGATAGTGGAAACAGTGTGAGGTAGCTGATGCTTCCAAAGACAGTCACAACAATATTTCTTTCATCATAAAGTAGAGACTATTTTTCTTCCCCTTGAATCTGGGCTGGCCCTGGGACTGCTTTGATTAATGGAATGTGGCAGTGATAGTGTTCTAGGATATCTAGGACCAGACATTAAGCAAGCCTGACAACCTCTGCTTTGCACTCTGTGGAAGGCTGGCTGCCACAGAAGAAGAGATCACCATGCTGTGGGGAAGCCCAAGCTAGCTATGTGGAGAGGCCACATGGAAGGAGAGACATGCCTGGCCAGCCCCTAAATATTTAGCTCACCTCAGCTGAGGTACCAAACATGTGCGTGAAAAAGTGGTCTAGGGAGTTCCAATCCCAGCAGACACCACATGGAACAGAGATGAGCCATCCTCACTGAGCCCCGTCAAAACTGCAGAATCACGAGCAAATAAAAGATCATTGTTTTACGGCACTAAATGTTGGTGTGGCTTGAAAAGCAGCAATGCATAACCAAAACACAAAGTTAAGCAACAGAAAGGACCACAGCAGACAGATCAACCTGCTCTAAATTCCACAAAGTGGAATTTGGGGTGATAAAAAAAAACTTCTTCTTATCTTATCTCAGGGGTTATTTGCTTTCTGTTTACTCTTTCAGTGATTTGTAATCTTCCCACCTGGTGCTTGTTTATCCCAATAGTGTACCAAGGGGGTGGGGGAGGAGGCGTGGGAGAAGTCTGCCCCTATGAGGGAGAAGTATTCTGTCATCATACATTGTTTGGAACTGTTGGAGCATGAAAATAATAAAAAGCAAACTGACTTTTAATTAGTTTTATTATTGTATTAAAAATTTCTATAGACGCGTACACATACAGAAATTCACTGCTTTTCGCCCGCCCCGGGAGTGGGTTGCCCCCACTGCCTCCCTCCTTGCTGTGCCACTGGTTTACATCCACACATGCAGTGAGACTCGGAATAAGCATAGAGCTGTCTGAGCGCAACCGAACTGTCAAATCACACAGCTGCAAACCAGCCTCTCGTCTGTCAGCTGACAAAGACCCAGCCAGGTTCCCTGCCTTGGCAGACCCAGTGAATCCAACCATCCTTTAATTCGAAGGATAATTCTCAGTGGGTTGCTATAGTACCCACGTCCAGGCTGACTCCCTGCCGAGGGGGTGACCCTTTCCCCATCTGTCAGAGTCCTGTCCGTTTTCCATGGAGCTCAATACACTCCCTTATCTCCCCCAACAAAAGGGATTCAACCTCAAGTTTTGTTCTGAAGGACTACAGGGCAGGACCACATTTATACCAACCTCCAGAAACAATGCAGTTAATGCCCGTGTGTCCTGCTTACAAAGGCAGGCTGTGGCCATTGCCCCGCCAGTTGCGTCAGGGCTGCTAAAGAATGTTGTTTCCTACCAAGCCACAGATGGGGAACCCCACTGGGTGGCTATTCAGGGCAACCTCAGAACAACAAAGCAACAAGTTGTCCAGTCTATCCTGAGAAGAATCTGAAAATGAAATCTACTCAGGTAACTTACAATCTGTCCATCAGCAAATACAGTCTTCCTGTCCTTCCAGCATGTTGTGAAATGTGTGAAAAAGAAGCAATTTTGTTTAGTTGCGCTTTAGAAGAACAATCACTTGGAATTCCAGTGAAATCTATTGTCTAGAGAAAGAAAGAAAGGGTCTCTCTTGGTCTCCAGAAAGCCTGGAACAGAAGGAAGCAAGAGGTTTGGTGACCTCTACTTTCTGAAATAAAAACAGAAAACAGAAATCTAACTGGGCTGCCATTACCATCTCAGGAAGAAGTCAGAAAGGATACCGGGGCTACAGGTGTAACAGCTTTCCAAGACCCTGGAACCTGGCGACTTGCGTATTCATTTGTTAAACCCTCTATCCACATGGTGATTAGAAACAAAATCCTTACAATGAACAGTCTGTGTTCTGACTGAGGAACCAGAAAGGAGAAGTGGGGTGGGTCTACCCCCTTCAGCAGCCAGTAGCTAGGGAGAAGAGTCCTGAGGGCTGTAGTAGCATAAGCCAGATAGTGAGTGATCCATGACAGTCTCCCATCGATGACAGTCTCCCAGACCCACAGTGCTTTCTTCAGCTCCTATAAAGTCCTGACCTTAAAGGTTTTTTAGTTTCTAGGTGAATGCACAAGTAACTGTCCAATTATCTAAAATTATATTAACACTTAACTGTACAGCAGAAAGAGAGGAAAGTGAGTCATCCCTTAATACATGTGGCCTGGATACTTGATACAGAATGTCCCTCTATACACCTTCCCAGGCCCAGGCAGCCACAAAGCTTGAAGGGACTGGCAGGTGGGGCAGACCCAACCCAGGCCTCAGGCAGCTGCGGCAGTTACCTGAAGTCTGAGCAAAGATCCTTATGCCTCCTGCTACCAAGATACCTCTTCACTCACACGGCCTCCTGCTACCAAGATACCTCTTCACTCACACGGCTACTTCTGGGTCACTGCCCAACAGTCGTCATGGGCCAGAGGCAGCCTGAGGTGGGGTCTGTAACCATGAATTGCTCTATTATGGGGACAGCTCCAACAGAACTTTTTTTTCCTGCTCTTCTCGAAAGGATGACTCAGACAATACGATCAGTACTTACATAAGCTCACATAGTCTTCCTATTTAAGGAAAACTTATTTATTGGGTTATTCTTTTTGCCGGAATTAAGCACCTTAAATATCAATTACATTTCGCAAGATTAATTTGTGTTCTTCAATGTCCAGATTGTTTGTGGCTTTGGCAAAAGACCTAAGCATGTTGATAATCTGAGGTGGGAGGGTTTTTTTGATTTCTATTCTTTTGGGGCCTCTTCTCCTGCTTGACTCCTCTTGGGAGTGGTCATTTCTTTCCCTTTGTAGTGCAGACAGAGGGAGGACATGAGTATGTAGATTTGTAAACGTTGACCACTACCCACCCATTCATCCTCACAGGCCTGCCGTGTTCACAGCATCCATCCAGACATCCACTAATTATTTAATGAGTATCTGCTCTGTGCCGGGCACCAGAGGCACAGCAGTGAACAAAACAAAGTCTCAGCCCTCAAGGAGCTTCCGTCTAGTGGAGGAGATACAATAAGCAAGTAAACATGTAATGTAATGAGTGCTGTGAAGAGAAACAAAGCTGGGTAAAGAGTTAGAGAGAGGCTGCTGAGGAGAGAGGATGGTCAGGAGGTGACCCTTGAGTAGCAAGAACAGAAGGCACGAGGGGAAAAGGTAACCCAGGAGCCAGAAAAGCCTGTGCAAAGACTGGAGGCAGAAGAGATTTTGTGCTGGAGGAAGAGCTCTGTTCCTGAACTAAACATAGTGTTACTGAGAATTGGG